GGGGGGGGGGTGATTGAAGCCAGTGCATTTTAGTTTTTCTGAGTTATGAGCAGAAATACTCAACACTGAACGGTGTGCTGTATATCAAATTGAAGCTATTGAAAAACGCTATTTGGTGTAGAAATTTCAAGACTTTAGCTAAAAGGGAAATATTGAAAAACTACAAAAACAATTGTCGATAATTTGCCATTTTGCAGTTGTTTTTGTATTTTTTAAATATTTTTCATTTCGCTGAAGTCTTGAAATTTCCACACCGAATAGCAATTTTCAATAGCTTCAATTTGATATATAGCCCAACGTTTGGGATAACTATTAACTATTATTTTATGACTTTTAACTATTATTTTATGTTTCTCAACCGGCAAATGCATTTAAAAAGGTGGCTAACTCTATAAACTAGGGAATAAAGCTAAAATAAAGTAATTTTGAGAGGAACGCCAAAAAGATTTTAGGTTTTGAACACTTATCATTGCAAATACGTGACCTTGAAAAAAATTGCCTCTTAATTAATGTTTTTGTTTTGCTTGAGGACAGTTTAATATTTGAATACTTTTTTTAATTTCAGGACATATTTATCGAAGTACAAGCGTTTTGTATTGACTTCAGTCGCATACGTGAAGCGGCAGCTTTATTTCGACTTTTGAAAAATGTTGAAAAAGGCGAGGGTGCTGACCAAGACGGAGGACTGGGACCGACCACACAAGCTAAGTAAATGTAATGGACACGAATGGATAGAGATTGATAGAAATGGTGGTTGATTATCCAATAATGTTCATATGTCATATGATGGTAGGGAAGAGGAACGTTTAGTAACACTCTTTCCCCCTCTACCGATACGTTTTGTACCAAGATGAACTTTGAACTGGACCAGGGGAAAGGGGATTATGATGTCTGGATAGATTGTCTTTAAGGAATAAAAATGTAAAACGAAATTACTGGATATATAGCGAATAGCTCTATCAGTTCTAAATTCTTCTTCGTAGAGGTCCAGTAAGAATCATCTCTTATTGATCCAGTGTTACTACAGGAGGAAACCGAAACTAATCTAACTTTATTTGTACGGATAGCTCTATCAGTTCTAAACTGTTCGGCTCCCTAGAGGTCCAGTAAGGATCATCTCTTATTGATCCGATGTTACTACAGGAGGAAACCTAAACCAAACTAACTTAATTTATACTGGATAGCTCTATCAGTTCTAAACTGTTCTTCCTAGTGGTCCAGTAAGAATCATCTCTTATTGGTCCAGTGTTACTACAGGAGGAAACCGAAACTAAACTAACTTTATTTATACTGGATAACTCTATCAGTTCTAAACTGTTCTCCGTAGAGGTCCAGTAAGGATCATCTCTTATTGATTCAGTGTTACTACAGGAGGAAATCTAAACTAACTTTATATTTATACTGGATAGCTCTATCAGTTCTACACTGTTCTTCCTAGAGGTCCGGTAAGAATCATCTCTTATTGATCCAGTGTTACTACAGGAGGAAACCTAAACCAAACCAACTTAATTTATACTGGATAGCTCTATCAGTTCTAAACTGTTCTTCCTAGAGGTCCAGTAAGGATCATCTCTTATTGATTCAGTGTTACTACAGGAGGAAATCTAAACTAACTTTATTTATACTGGGTAGCTCTATCAGTTTTAAACTGTTCTTCCTAGAGGTCCAGTAAGGATCATCTCTTATTGATCCAGTATTACTACAGGAGGAAAACTAAACTAAACTAACTTTATTTATACTAGATAGCTCTATCAGTTCTAATTAATTATCCTCCCTAGGCCTAGAGGTCCAGTCAGAGTCATGAGTCATCTCTTATTGATCTAGATACTACATAGAAATAATAATACCTGTGGTGTTTGATAGAGTCGAACTGGAAACACTCTTCTCACATGTGACTAAAGCAAAATTTAATCTCACTTATGTACTAACACACGTGACGTTGTTCAACCATTTACTTTAATGGGCGGTCATATTTTCGCGTTGTGTTACACTTTCATTCATCGCTATAACAACCTGGCGTTGTTTGCGAGCACTGGAAGCTATGTTTGTGACAGACAATGTGCTAAGTATGTGTAAAGTATGTGTGAAATTGCGTGAAATTACAGCTGTAGTAACAGTAACTGATGCATCAAAACACACCCTTTGTGGCAGATGGCACAAGAGCATAAGATATATAAATATCCGGTGGGCGAATCAAGATATAGCCACACGACTCTACCAAACACCTCAGATTCCGGGAATTCCGGTTTCCTCCTGTAGCAACACTGGATCAATAAGAGATGATCCTTACTGGACCTCTAGGAAGAACAGTTTAGAACTGATAGAGCTATCCAGTATAAATAAAGTTAGTTTAGTTTAGGTTTCCTCCTGTAGTAACACTGGATCAATAAGAGATGATCCTTACTAGACCTCTAGGGAGAACAGTTTAGAACTGATAGAGCTATCTAGTATAAATAAAGTTAGTTTAGTTTAGGTTTCCTCCTGTAGTAACACTGGATCAATAAGAGACGATCCTTACTAGACCTCTAGGGAGAACAGTTTAGAACTGATAGAGCTATCCAGTATAAACTATAAAGTTAGTTTAGTTTAGGTTTCCTCCTGTAGTAAAACTGGTTCAATAAGAGATTACCTTTTCTGGACCTTTAGGAAGAACAGTTTAGAACTGATAGAGCTATCCAGTATAAATAAAATTAGTTTAGTTTAGGTTTTCTCCTGTAGTAACACTGGATCAGTAAGAGATGATCCTTACTGGACCTCTAAGAAGAACAGTTTAGAACTGATAGAGCTATCCAGTATAAATAAAATTAGTTTAGTTTAGATTTTTTTTCCATTAATAACACTGGATCAATAAGAGATGGCTCTGACTGAACCGCTATGTATTAAACAGTTCAGAACAGAGCTATCCAGTATAAAAATATAAAAGGCAAATTCCGAAAACAACTCCAATTTTTTTATACGTGTCTGTTGTCCGTGATTTTTATCCCGTAATAAGTGCCAGGATTAAGTGGAGAAAATCAATTCTTCCTGTTTCCTTTTGCGAGGAAATTGAAAACCCTACATGGTCAAATTGTGCCTGATATTTTAACGATGTGTCAAATGGCAAGCTCATAGTTTTATATTACTTTCAACACTGTCCTTGTAATAGCTATGCATTTAAATTAAACCAATTATGATTCCAGATGCGTGCTATTAGCCATGTCTGCCTTGAAGCACGCAGTTCATTCAGATTTAGTGCAACGTTTAAAACATCGAGATTTAGGAGTTTTGATATACCGGCCATTTCTACATGCGATACGCTACGTATTAAATTGATGTCTTGAGAAAAATTTGAAAACAATTTCGTTGCATCATGCTGTGTGATATTAATACTGTGAAAGCAATTAGCAATTTGACTCGTTAAAAACACATTGATATGAGGTACTTTATATAGAGTTTAGATTTATTCACTAAGCGCTATCTTACAGCAGATGGTCGCCAACCTGTAGTTATCAGAGTGAGAAAATAATGTTCATTCTTTTCATTATATATAGTAGTCCTGCTTTAATGGTCAGTAAAAATTGAGATGTGTAGATTCATTTTCTTGTTCGTATATAAGTTTCTTTATTTCTGAAGTTGAACTCCATCTGCTGGGCTGCATAACGCTTACTTCAAAACCCAGCCTTGACCTAAAATAACTAGTCACATATGCTATATTAATCAATTTCTTGTCAGGTTAGTGACAAAAACGTGTGAAAATTAGTTCCATCAAGCATTTACTCTGTCTGTGACATAATAATGTAAACCAATTAACATTATGAGGCGTTGAAAAACCCATAAAGCCTTAATCCCAGCCTGCGTGATTTAATCCTATTGTTGTCAATAGAAGGGATACTAAATAGCTTAATCGCATCTAACTATATTAAAGACTGTTGTTGACTTAAGCGAGCCATTCTGCCCTGCCTACCGAGTTGGTGTCATCGCGTTTGAAGATAGAACTAGTAAAACTGGTGTAGAATTTGCGTCTTCGACTAAAAAGAACGCTTTTGAAGAGTTTGGATTTATTTTGATGATTCTTCATCAGGGTACGGGAACGAAGAGTTTCAATTTACAACGGTTTTGCTGTTTTGATTAACAGAGACACAGTTCTAGAGCTTAGAACACAAATAGGATTGGCTAAGGAGACTTATCGCCATCGCGGATTTTGAACTAACTCTCTTGTTGTTTCTTCGAAACTTTTGTTATCACGACAGAGATACATTTCAAGAGCTCAGCAGTAATCACAGCCAGTTCGTCGTTTGTGTTTTCTATTCGCGAAGCAACGAAAGTGTTCCTATTTTCCAACTGCTACCAGACGTTCGAAGGTTGAACTAGCCAAACCCACACTACATGATGAATAGATATTTACTTCTACTTCTCATCCTTGCCATCGCTCATATTTCGGCGTCGCCAACAATACGCCCATACGATTGCGCCAACGTGCCACCGATGTGTTACAGATTGATCGGCAGCAAATACACGAAAATGCGACTCCCCAATATGTTAAACCATACTCGCTACGAAGATGTCGCCGCCGATATCAAAGTGTGGCGTCCTTTACTAAACTCCTCCATATGCAACGCTGCTAATCAGTTGAAGTACTTCTTGTGTTTCACCTACGCGCCTGTGTGCGTGGACAAATTGATATCTCCGTGTAAGTCCCTCTGTGAAACCGTGCGAGATTCGTGTGATCCTGTGATGCGACAGTACAATTACTCCTGGCCCGCGTTCTTCAATTGTAATCAACCAAAGAAGTTCCACGATGATTCTTCACAAATGTGTATCAATCTGAAAATGCTTGGAATTGGAAGTAAGTTTGTGCATTGGGTTGTTTGTGACATATTGTGGTTAGTCTTCGCAACGATCCCTGTTGTTGTGATTGTAGTTTCGCCACGGTTACATTGAAGTACAGTTCTTCAAGTTTGATTCTATATCAATATATGTTTCCTCCTGCAGTAACACTGGGTCAATAAGAGATGATCCTTACTCGACCTCTATAAGGAGAACAGTTTAGAACTGATTTATTTATCCAGTATTTAGTTTAGGTTTCCTCCTGTAGTAACACTGGATCAATGACCCTTACTGAACCTCTAGGGAGAACAGTTTAGAACTGATAGAGCTATCCAGTATAAATAAAGTTTAGTCAGTTTATTTTAGATTTCCTCCTGTAGTAACAGTGGATCACTATAAGAAATGATCCTTACTGGCCCCTCTAGGAAAAACAGTTTAGGATTAATAGAGCTATCCACTATAAATAAAGTTAGTTTAGTTTAAGTTTCGTCCTGTAGTAACACTGGATCAACAAGAGATGATTCTTACTGGACCTCTAGGAAGAACAGTTTAGAATTGATAGAGCTATCAAGTATAAATAAAGTTAGCCTATCCTGTTCTATGTGGTTTAGCTCTCCGGATAGTTCACCTTATGTTTATATTATAGTACGGATCACATATGCTTACGGATCATCCGTTTCTATAGTTTAATATCCCCAGGCGATGTTTATACCAAGATGAGAGAAATCTACTTAATTCCGTAGATTATTTGTATTTAATGATGTTCTCCAAGTGATGTCCACCCCAGGTATGCAGAAAACTACTTGATCATGGTTGGATTTGTACTCAGGTAGATTGTATTTTATTTTCAGAATGTTCGTGCAAAGGAAGTTACACTAAAAAGACATTGAAAGCTTTGATCTGCAAAAGCGATTTTGGTAAGATTATCTTAACATTTATTTATCTTTTACCCGGAGAGGGAAGGCATGAGACTTTCAGATTTTTAGAGTGTCGGATGGATTCCGTAGACGTGGTGTTCCTATTGGCGTTCCCACAGAGTAGAGCTATCCAGTATAAATAAAGTTAGTTTAGTTTAGGTTTCCTTCTGTAGTAACACTGGATCAATAAGAGATAATCCTTACTGGATCTCTAGGAAGAACAGTTTAGAACTGATAGAGCTATCCAGTATAAATAAAGTTAGTTTAGTTTAGGTTTCCTCCTGTAGTAACACTGGATCAATAAGACATGATCCTTACTGGACCTCCAGGGAGAATAGCTTAGAACTGATCGAGCTATATCCAGTATAAATAAAGTTAGTTTAGTTTAGGTTTCCTCCTGTAGTAACACTGGATCAACAAGAGATGATCCTTACTGGACTTCTAGGAAGAACAGTTTAGAACTGATAAGCTCATCCAGTATAAATAAAGTTAGTTTAGTTTAGGTTTCCTCCTATAATAACTAACGCTGGATGAATAAGGCATGGCCCTTACTTGACCAGCTCTTGTAGTGTCGTGCTCACCACGCTTGTCTTTCAAGCCAGGAGACCCGGGTTCAATTCTTGGTTGGACCTCTACGCAAGGTCTTAAAATAACTGAGGAGAAACTGCTACCTTTACATTGACATCAGTAAATGGTTAGACATTCGCGTCTTCTCGGATAAGGACGTTAAATCGTAGGTACCTCGGATCCCCTACTAATTGGGAAATCCGCTCACCAATGAGGTGAGTGAGAGAAAAAGGAATAATTCATAACCGATCGAAAAAAAGTTGCCTAAGGAATATTTTGGACTGTTGTTTGTTATATTAATAACTTGAGGTTCTAAAAAAATTCTGGCATAACGTGGATTTTCAACTGTAGGTTTTCAAGAAAATTCGTCTGAAGTTAAGCCTTTAAGGTTCTTTAGAGATTAAAAATTCTTAAGCTTTAAGGATTGTTTTACATGACGTAAAGCATTTTTTAATTTATGAAGTTTAGACTAGTGAGAATCTATCTTGACTGGTATTTCAAGACCAGTTAGACCACTACCTACACCAGTCATAAATTTAATGAGCCAATTAATGTAAATAGATATGTAATTAGTAACGTCTGAACGCCTCTAATTGAATCAAATGTAGGGCGGACAGTAATTAATTTTCTAATTAATCGTAATATCCGATAAGAGCCCAGTTCATTGTTGAGTGATTTAAGAGCTAATGCTTTTGTTTGAGAACAATCTTGGGATGTTTTCGTCTGGAGAGGCGGTAGTGTTCTTAGTTGAACTAAGAGGATTGTCTACTTGCGTTATTCTCGAGTACTTGTGGACAGAGAAGCGAAATTCGTGCAGTTTGACACACAGTATAGGAAATGTGATATATTAGACTAACTTTATTAAAACTGGATAGCTTTATCAGTTCTAAATTGTTCTTCCTAGAGGTCCAGTAAGGGTCATCTCTTATTGATCCAGTGTTGCTACAGGATGAAACCAAAACTAAACTAACTTAATTTATATTGGATAGTTCTATCAGTTCTAAACTGTTCTTCCTAGAGGTCCATGCAGTAAGGATCATCTCTTATTGATCCAGTGTTACTACAGGAGGAAACCTAAACTAAACTAACTTTATTTATACTGTATAACTCTATCAGTTCTGAACTGTTCTTCCTAGAGGTTAAGTAAGGGTTATCTCTTATTGATCCATTGTTACTACAGTTGGAAACTGGAGTACCTGTGGCGTGGTAGATCAATCAAGGGCAAGTCCAGTCAAAGGAGGGTTCTTCCTTCCTCTCAAGCGTTGCACGCAATGCAACAAACGTCCCATGTTTTCAACGTGGCTAAACTTGAATGACGCAGTCAGGCACTTAAAACTGGGCGGATTGGAATTTCGATGGCTTCAAACATTTTTATTCAAGTGATTAGTTTTTTCCGGATTAATTCACGTACTGAAAGCTCAATTAATCCTGGAAACATTTTCGAAATGTTTCGAAATCCATTCGTTTGGCACACGGGAACATTTCGTCTCCAGGATCTTCTTTCGTCTTCCTGCTTTGCGTCTTTCACCTCTAGTCGTCTGATTGTAATTTCCTCCCGTAGTAACACTGGTTCAATAAGAGATGACCCTTACTGGACCTCTAGGGAGAACAGTTTAGAACTGATAGAGCTATCCAGTATAAATAAAGTTAGTTTAGTTCAGGTTTCCTCGTGTAGTAACACTGGATCAATAAGAGATGACCCTTACTGGACCTCTAGGAAGAACAGTTTAGAACTGATAGAACTACCCAGTATAAATAAAGTTAGTTTAGTTTACGTTTCCTCCTGTAGTAACACTGGATCAATAAGAGATGATCCTTACTGGACCTCTAGGGAGAACAGTTTAGAACTGATAGAGCTATCCAGTATAAATAAAGTTAGTTTAGTTTAGGTTTCCTCGTGTAGTAACACTGGATCAATAAGACATGATCCTTACTAGACCTCTAGGGAGAACAGTTTAGAACTGATAGAGCTATCCAGTATAAATAAAGTTAGTTTAGTTTAGGTTTCCTCCTGTAGTAACACTGGATCAATAAGACATGATCCTTACTGGACCTCTAGGGAGAACAGTTTAGAACTGATAGAGCTATCCAGTATAAATAAAGTTAGTTTAGTTTTGGTTTCCTCCTGTAGTAACACTGGATCAATAAGAGATGATCCTTACTGGACCTCTAGGAAGAACAGTTTAGAACTGATAGAGCTATCCAGTATAAATAAAGGAAGTTTAGTTTAGGTTTCCTCCTGTAGTAACACTGGATCAATAAGGGATGATTCTTACTGGACCTCTAGGAAGAACAGTTTAGAACTGATAGAGCTATATCTAGTATAAATAAAGTTAGTTTATTTTAGGTTTCCTCCTGTAGTAACACTGGATCAATAAGAGATGATCCTTACTGGACCTCTAGGAAGAACAGTTTAGAACTGATAGAGCTATCCAGTATAAATAAAGTTAGTTTGGTTTAGGTTTCCTCCTGTAGTAACACTGGATCAATAAGAGATGATCCTTACTGGACCTCTAGGAAGAACAGTTTAGAACTGATAGAGCTATCCAGTATAAATAAAGTTAGTTTAGTTTAGGTTTCCTCCTGTAGTAACACTGGATCAATAAGAGATGATCCTTACTGGACCTCTAGGAAGAACAGTTTA